TGAGTGAATTATGTTTTAATTAATCATATGATTTAATATAAACTAGTAAAGTTATTGATAGTGTAGTCTACCGCATCAAATTATCTAAATTTATAGATATTCAACAACAAAAATTAAAAATACAATTATAAATAATTATTGTTTATAAAATTTTTTGTTAAACATAAGAGTAATTTTTAAATTTTAATAATGACTTCTTATAAAGAGCTGCTTATGCTATGGGGTAATCCATTTGAGTATATAAACTCGCATTCCTATGGATTGTGGCATAAATTCATTGAATCCGTGAATATGTCTTATATTGACTGCAATTCATACCTCAAATCCCGTGAATTACTGATTCGTGATAACAGTTTTAATCTGATGATATTTGAGGACCAGGTAATTTATGATAAAAGTTTTAATATCATTTCAATATAATTTAACATGTTGACTTAGAAAGTATTTTTAGAGATAAACAATACCAGAGGATCAGCACTATTTAATTCACTAGTAGTTCCCGTGCTGGCGCAAATTGGCAATACAATTAATTATAGGTCAAGCATAATCATTTTTACAATTATAATTTTACTTTCAATCAAGTAGTTTTTTCAATAATTTGTGTTACTTTTAATTTACATACAGTAATTTGTATTGTATTTATTTTCTAAATTCCCAATGTAAAATAAACTAAATACAATGCAAATAATGTTACATTTTAAGTAACTAAAACATAAATGACTAAAAATTGTTATAAAATTGACAAAGGATATTTTTTATAGTGTAAATCTGAATGTATTTCAATGCTCGGTATACGATGAGTCGCTTATTAATAACATATCGCAGTATGATTTGATTAGACGGGGATTAATCACAACATTGGACACCACACTAATTGACTATACCTGGCACACTCAGGCACAGTCATTAAATTGCACCTTGCCACTATATATCGGGTACTTAATGAACTACATAAGCGCCAAAATCTATAAACCATTTCCACCAATACTGGACACTTGGAAAGTGTTTGACAAAAATGTTTGGTTTTGTGTATTAATTGCAT